ACGGGGGGGTGCAGGGGAGGGGGGGGCACCCCCATCCATCCCCGGTGCCCCCCATGGCGTCATCCCCCTCAGTGATGAGCAGCGGCTGCAGGGCAGCACCGTGGGTCCGGTAGAGGGGCACCCGCCGGGCACCCATGGGTGCCAGCACCCGGCTCTGGAAGAGGGGGTTGGTGTGGAAGTGGGGCTCCTCCTCCTCCAGATCCTCCTCTTCCTCGGCCTCTTCCTCCCGGGAGGAGCAGCCATCATCATCTTCATCATCATCCTCCTCTTCCTCCTCGCAGCATTCGGGGTCCTGGTGCTTGGGTGAGGTGGTCCCACCCATGGGCATGAACTTGGGCGAGATGGTCCCACCCATGGGCATGAACTTGGGTGAGGTGGTCCCATCCGTGGGCATGAACTTGGGCGAGATGCTCCCATCCGTGGGCATGGCCTTGGGCAAGATGCTCCAGTCCACCGGCATGTGGTCCTGCGAGATGGTCCCACCCGTAGACAAGAACTTCGGTGAGATGGTCCCATCCGTGGGCATGCGGTCCTGCAAGATGGTCCCATCCATGGGCATGGCCTTGGGCAAGATGGTCCCATCTATCGGCTCGTGCTCCTGCAAGATGGTCCCATCCACAGGCACGGACATGGGGGAGATGCTCACATCTGTAGGCACGCGGCCATGGTGCTCATTTGAGATGCTACCAGCCATGGACGCGTGCGAGATGCTCTCATATGCAAATCCCCAGCCTTGGGGCTCCTTCACGGCCACGGACTTGGGTGAGATGGTCCTGTCTGTTGGCACATGCTCATGCAAGACACTCCCATCTGTAGACAAGTGGAAGATGCTCTCGTATGTGGGTCGATGGCCTTGTGGCTCATGGAGGATGCTCTCATCCATGGGCATGGACGCAGGTGAGATGCTCCTGCCTGTGGACACGTGGAAGATGTTCTCGTATGTGGATTGATGGCCTTGCAGCTCATGGAAGATGCTCTCATCTGCGGGCATGGACTTGGCTGAGATGGTCGCACCCGTGGGCACGTGCTCTTGTGAGATGCTCCCTTCTGTAGGTGTGTGGCCGTGGTGCTCCTGTGAGATGCTCCCACCCATGGATACATGGAAGACGTTCTCGTATGTGGATCCACGGCCTTGGTGCTCATGTGAGATGCTCCCACCCATGGGCATGAACTTGGGTGAGGTGGTCCCATCCGTGGGCATGAACTTGGGCGAGATGCTCCCATCTGTGGGCATGAACTTGGGCGAGATGCTCCCATCTGTGGGCATGAACTTGGATGAGGTGGTCCCATCCATGGGCATGAACTTGGGCGAGATGCTCCCATCTGTGGGCATGAACTTGGGTGAGGTGGTCCCATCCATGGGCATGAACTTGGGCGAGATGCTCCCATCCATGGGCATGAACTTAGGTGAGGTGCTCCCATCCACGGGCACGAACTTGGGTGAGATGCTCCCATCCTCTGTAGACCCAGGACCACGCTGCTGGTGTGAGATGCTCCACACCGTGGCCGCGCTCCTGGCCGTGGCCCCATGGCCATGGTGCCAGCCGTCCTGGGGTGCTGGGTCGTGGTGGCCGCCATCCGGCTGCCCCTCGATGGCTCCCTGCAGCTCCCAGACGCACAGTTGGGCTTGCACCAGGCTGGCCCAGAAGA